CCCCGCCCCGCCGCACCACGCCGTTCCTCGTTTGTCGCCGCGCGGGGACGCGGCGCGAGCGGTGCGTCCGAAATCCATCCGGTCTCCTTTTTAGGCCCCCGATTAGGGGTGCCTATTGCTTTCGCCCGAAAGTTTATTCTTGACGATGGCCCCTTATGGCACAGCCGATCGTGCCTAAGCGAATTTAATGAAATTTGAATGAAAAATACTACAGAAAATTAGGAATTTTTTGAGGTATGTGTAATGCAATTTTGTCTGATGAAATTTGAGAAATTTGAGTTTGCATCCACAAGTTTCCATGGAAATGACGAGCTGAGCAGCAGGCCGAGTCGAGCCAGGGAAATTTCAACCAATCACAAATTTGCGCGGGAAAGTTCGACCAATGGAATCGATCGCCTGTTGCTTTGTACAACCCTCCTCAAAAATTATTTGGCCCTGGCGTCGATTCGGTGGTCACGTTTAAATAATGACAACTGGCCGCCGTGTATAAAGATGCAACACAGACGCCGTTTTGAACGCGGCCGCTGAGTGCCAGCCACGGCTTTGATTGTTGGCTGGGACGGTAGTTCCGCCTTGTAATAAACTCGCTTGAAAAGGGGCGGAAAGTATACTGATGCAGCCAACCTATAACTGAAAATAGATGTTATGTTTTTACCTTATTTAAGATTATAAGTGTCAACATATAATATACAATACGCCTAAATGTATACGTTTTTTATATATCAAAACATTATCAATGACGTTGTGTTAGTAGTATTTTTGAAAAGTTCACATTCCTTGTCGTGAATGTTATAGCGGTGTTCATCTAAGCAAGCTAGCTTGGCGAACGATCAGCATACTAAACTTTAAAATATTTGCAATAGACAAATTGTTTAGAATTTTCAGTGTACAAGAAATTAACCACCGTATGTATAAAGATTTTTAGTAGATCATTTATTTAATCTGATCGACATAAGTTTCCTAGATATTTGGCTGCAGTGTACATCAAAATCAGTAGCCAGTGTAATGAATCGTTGTAGTATTATTATTCAAAAGTTAACATTAAAATCTAAGGGGGCCGTTAACGCGTTAGCGTTAGAATTTTTCCTGCTCCGCGCGGCGACCCAAGGCGCGGTGCGGCTCCATCCCGGACGCAGTCGTGCGGGGTGCGGGGCGGGGCGGGCAACGAGCGAGCGTGAGCGACAGCAACGCCACCGCCAACCCCCCGCCGCCGCGCCTCCCCGCCCTTCCATTCGTGAGAGGTAGTCGTAGCCATTCTGCCGTCGCCAAGCTACGCCACGCCACGCCCCGCGGCCTCCCTCGGCCGCAGAGCAGGACGCGCTGGTGTGGTGGCCTGGCCAGGGGCCTACCAGAGCCTCTGTCCTGCAGGACGCCCCCGGTGCAGCAGGTGCGCGGGTGGGAGGGGGAGGTGGGTGCACAACCCTGTAATGCACCCCCGTGCCCTTCTGTGCGCCCTTACGCTCCACCGTTTGTCATTACCCTCCGGCGGGTCATTCTGCGCCCACCACACCACACACTACCACGCCGCCGAGGCCTCGATCAGCGGCCGCGGCGCCATCTAGCGGAGGACGCCGGCATTAGAGCATCGTCCATACCTCACCCACACTCACGCGCGCGCGCGCACACACACACTCGCACACGCAGAGCGGGCGGCGCGCGGACGCGATATCACCCTCCTCCCATCCTGCGAAAGCCACGCCAAGCATCCCGGCGAGGCCCTCCACGCCAGGCCACGCCACGACGCATCCACCACCACGGCAGAGCACGGGATGGGCTGGAAGTATCCCCTCCCTCTGCCGCATCGACCTCGCCCGGTGTGTGTGTGTGTGTGTGCCCGCGCATGGCATTGCATGGTATCTCCGAGCAATGCAGAGTTATGGCCAACGCGACTGCTTCACGAATTGCGTAACGCTTTCGCGAGCGATCTCGGACCGTGGGCAGCTCGGGGTCGCGGTGGCATGGATGACGGCGACGCTCGCAGGACCGTCGTGTCCTCGCGTCGTCGTCGTCCTGCTCCTGAGAGGCCGCGGGAAGAGGCGACGCGACAAGGCGCGGCGGCAGGCGCTCCCGTTATTCTCCAGGGGGGCTTCTCGGGAACAACTCGGAGAACGTGAACGGGAACGGGAACGCGGCGGAGAAGAGAACGAACCGATGAACGCGCCATAAGAGCTAACGGAGAACGTTCGTTCCCTGCGGCCGTTCCTTCACGCGTTCACGGCACTAGTCGTTCTCTCACTTGGTTCCCGAGAACCCCCCCAGGCGAGATTAAAGAAGATAATCCCACCTCTGGTCCATTAATCATGTTGACACTGCGACCCGACCTCCTCCGGGCGGCCGCTGCCTCCGCTGCCTCCGCTGCCTCCGCTGCCTCGAGTGGGCCGGAGGTGAAGGGAGGGCGGAAGAGAGAGTCATGTGACGACGACGTCCTCTCCTGGGGTCTAGAGAGGCCTGGAGGCTTAGATTGGCCCCGCTGGAGCCGTGCCGGAGAAGGGCTCTCGTTGTTTAGGTCCCGCCCTCTAATCCGTCCCCTTAAAACCCGCCAAACGGGACGGGCTTAACGGGCCGGACAGTGGCGCTACGATTTAACCGCACTGGCGGCGTATCTCCAAAGTAGGGGGCGAGAGGGGTGACGCGGATAACGCCCATCACCCAGCAGCGCGACGCAACCTCCTCGGCGCCGTGGAGGTAGGCACCCTATTCGACACCAAAGTCAAGAGGTTTGCGTGCCTCGTATTCTGAGAGCCCGAGGACCCTCTCTTTCAGATTCTGCTGCCGTAGCACACCGTTTTCGAATGGTTTGTATTTGTCGTTCGTGAAAAGTGATCGGTCTAAGAGTTCAAAATCTGCATTTCATTCGTTGGTGCATCTACGCAAGAAGATGCGGGTATTTTATCGTAACTCAGTTTAAATATCCCGCTGAGTTGGACTGCGAATACTCACTACCGCATTCCTTCTTTAATGTGCAAGTTTTAGGCCGAAAACCGCTGTTTAAAAATGCAGGGAAGTCCAAATATTTTACGGGTTCTTAATTGATCCTTCAATATCCTTGCAAGCGGGGATAGGAGAATTATTTGAAGCACATGAGACACTGCGACCACGGTGGTACTTGTAGAATGCGGGCCTGACTCCGGTGGTGGCGCTCCTCCCCACCCCTCCCCCACTTCGCCTCAAGCCCCTCCCGCCCCCACTCCGCCCCGCTTCTGCCTCTACCAGTTGCAGTACCTGCCAGTAGTGACTGAACTTCCGTTGTGAGACTCGTAAACCAGTGAATGTCCGAATTCTGGCTGTCAAACTTTGTGTTTATGTAGTGTCTTGTGAATTACAGTGCAGAAAAATCGATTTGTATCGATCAGTTTATTTGTAAATAGATCTGTGGTGAGAGTTGGTGCCTTAAAATGAACAAGAAGTGCGCTCGGTGTGAAAAAACTGTGTACCCTATAGAAGAACTCAAGTGTTTGGATAAGGTAATGTTTTTTGCAGTAGTGTGCAGTTTTTGCAACATTTCTTTCCATAGAACTTTATCATTTCCTAGTCTTTTCTTTAATGAAATCGTGGTTTATTTACTTTGAGGTTCTGTTGCCGGCGGAAGTGTTTGGTATTTAATTTACACGAAGGTACACGCCCCACTACAGTTTTTGCTATAAATTTAGCAGAAATGTGCCATATTGAATAGTTTTGAAAAATTGAACCCGTACTTTTTACATGTTCTTCTTTGGAATGGTAGTTCTATTGTAAATACATGCACTTTGACATCTTGGTTTGTTTACAAAATATTTCATTCAGGTATTCTAACCTCAAAACAATTGTGTTATTTTATATTGTCCTCGTTGTGTACGAATGAATATTTCTTTTTGCTTAATTCGTCTCTGGGATTGTTTTAGCTTCCTGAATTGACATGCTTCTCTCAGTTTCTTGAAACTGCTTAAGACCATGGTTAATCCTACAAACATTTCTGGTTGAAAATATTTATTTTGTATCGTTTCTTACCAACTGCTGTGATCCTTCTATTGCAATCATTTTAACCATAAAATTTCACAAGCACCTAAATAATGACACTAT